CCCGGGGGCGGAGGTAACCGGTGAGGCGGGGGCGGTGGGCCGGGCCGGGCCGTGGTGTATCGTAGGGCGTGTGGGCTGCGGAGCCTCCGGCGCGACCCGGGCCTCCCTCAGCCCCGCCGGGTGGGGGGGTGTGTGTGGGGGAGCCTGACCCGAAAACGTGGTTTGTTGTTGTAATTTTCGGGTTATGTTTTTAATTCCCCGTGCTGCCCCTTTGGAAGGGCTTCCCCTTTTGCTGTTTAGCAGCGAGTAGTTTCCCTGAATGGTGGCGGCGGGGGGGGGGGCAGCAGGGTGGGATTTCTGCTGACTTCAGTGGGGCCCTTACCAGGCTCCTGAGTTAGCCCAGGTATCGGTCGGAATTGCTTATGCACATAAACGAGCTACTGCTATTAGAGCTGAAAAAAAAAAAAAGTATTCTGAATTACTGAGCGCGCCTGCTCAAATAAAATTGTTTGTTAGCCTTCACAACGAAAACGCTGAGAGGACTTCAATCTCCCTGAGTGGTTTTTTGTTTGTTTGGCTGCAGGCAGCTCAGAAGCACCGGTGCCGTATAACCGTATGCACTTCGACGACAGAGTTGACGTTTTTTCATGCCTTACGTGAGGAAAAGTTTATGACCTCCAGCTCTGCCAGAGGAATGATCAGGGGCTCTGCTCTGGTCCTACTGACGTGGCTGTCCTTGGTCAGTAACCGGTACCTACGACTTTGCCACTGTGCAGTTGTGAATAGAAAGGTAATCCATTAAATGTGGCTTTATTTCCCCAAATCTAGAGCAGAAATGGTATAGGAGTGCATCTACAAGATGCCTGTGTAGGATTTGAAGCTTCTTATTGATACCTTCAATAACTTTAATCATAAATGGAGCTGTTTGCTTGTTTGTTTTAGGACACTGGATGAGAGATACGGTTACTAATTCCTTTTTCTTGGGTTTCTGGGGGGGTCTGTTTGCCCTTTCAAATATTAATGAAAAGTCCCTGTGTCACTTTGGCCATCGGTGTATTTCATTATTTTTCCCCCTTACGGCTGTCTTTAGCCACCAACACTTACAGACAATTTGCTTTTTGACTTTTCAATGTCCTGTTAAGGTATTTTTTTATTTTATAAAGCTATCAATATTTTTTCAACCTGTAAAAAAGCTTAATTATATTTTACATTATTTTATATCAGTTACTTGGGTTTCTGAATCTTATAATAGTATAAAATAGATACTCCATCAATAATTTCAATAGGATGTGTTAACTCAGTTGATCTTGTAGAGTGGTGTTAACTCCACAGAAAATTTAAATGTCTTCAGAAGACAAAGAAGCTCAGGAGGATGAGCTGCTGGCTTTGGCTAGCATTTATGATGAAGATGAGTTTAAGAGAGCCGAGTCTGCCCAAGGAGGAGAAACAAGAATTTGTCTGGAGTTGCCCCAAAACTTCAAAATTTTTGTGAGTGGTGAGTTGAGATGTTTTGTGTTATCCTGAAAGTAGCTTTTACCAAGCTAATTTTCTGGTATGTGCTTAGGCGGTTGCTGCTCTAGCGACCTATAGGAACACTGACTAGACAAAGCCATGACAGACTGTGTGCTGGGCTTGTGGTATTGTTGGGGTTTATATCTGAGTAGGTGATTTCATGCTCATACATATAAACTCTTAAGTGAACTTTAAAATTAGAGATGAGTAATAGTATGTCTTTGGAATAATTAAGTTAATTTATTTTTTTTTTTTTAGCTTGAGGAGATGTCTTTCCAGGTTCTTGGTTTGTGCGGGATCTGATATTTCATGGTACTGGTGTTTACTCATTTAACCATATGCATACAACCCCACGAAACTTTACTGCGCTGAGAAGTTCTGTTATTTAGGGTTGAATAAATAATTTTGAACTCAGAAATTTATCAAATGTAAAGAGATATAGTGCATGCTGTCATAAACAGTTACAGTTTGGTAGTTTTAATTTTCTTGTTATTTCTCAAGCTGTCTCAATTCTCTTTGATTCAGGCAATTCCACAGAGAGCCTCCAGAACAACGGATTTGAATACACCGTTTGCTTTCTGCCTCCCCTTGTGCTGAATTTTGAACTCCCACCAGACTACCCATCAACCTCCCCCCCAGTGTTTACCCTCAGTGGAAAATGGCTCTCCCAAGCTCAGGTCTGCAAAATAGTTTTAACATTTGTTGTGGTTTAACCTCAGCTGGTAACTAAGCACCATGCAGCCGCTCACTCGCTCCCCTTCCACCCCGTGGGATGGGGGAGAGAATTGGGAAAAAAATGTAAAACTTGTGGGTTAAGAGAAGAACAGTTTAATAGAACAGAAAGGAAGAAACTAATGATGATAACAACAATAATAAAATTACAATAATAAAAGAATTAGAATATACAAAACAAGTGCTGCACAATGCAGTTGCTCACCACTTGCTGACCGATGCCCCGTTAGATCCCGAGCAGCGATCCCCCTCCCAGACCAACTCCCCCCAGTTTATATACTGGGCACGATGTCACATGGTATGGAATAACCCTTTGGCCAGTTTGGGTCAGCTGTCCTGGCTGTGCCCCCTCCCAACTCCTTGTGCCCCTCCAGCCTTCTTGCTGGCTGGGCAGGAGAAGCTGAAAAATCCTTGACTTTAGACTAAACACTACTGTGCAACAACTGAAAACATCAATGTGTTATCAATGTTCTTCTCCTACTGAATCCAAGACATAACACTATACCAGCTGCTAGGAGGAAAATTAACTCTATCCCAGGTGAAACCAGGACACATTTTAACAGAGCTTTTGTGATCATGAGTAAGGTCATAATTAATGGTGCTCTAGGGGATGTTAATGGAGTAGATGAAAGTAAAATTAAGACAAACAATTACGCTGCTCTTTCAGTGGGCTCTTCTTTTGTTTCCTACTTGTTTTTATTTGGTCACCATTCTGAGGAATGAAAGCTTGCATCTATGAGCATTATTTTTATATGTATTTTATGTATATATTAAAAACTACAGAATGTGAAATCTAAGTATGCACTAAGGAGGACTGTGGGAGGAGAGGAAGACAGTAATGAGTTGTCAGAACTTACTAAAATCCGGAATTGTTTTTTCTTTTCTAGCTCAGTGCTCTTTGCAAACACTTAGACAACGTATGGGAAGAGAACCGAGGCTGTGTGGTCTTATTTGCCTGGATGCAGTTTCTGAAGGAAGAAACGCTGAGTTACCTGAATATTTCCTCCCCATATGAGCTCAAAATGTGCCATCAAGGGAATGGGCAGAGTAGGACACCTTTGGTCCCTCTCGATGCTGAGAAGGATTGCAGTGGTGCAGCAGGCTCTGCAGCAGCTGAAGAAGAACTCATCGATGCAAGAGCTGTACAGGATGTGGAATCATTGTCAAGTCTGATTAGGGAAATCTTGGACTTTGATCAGGCTCAGAAGAGGAAGTGCTTTAACAGTAAGATGTACTTGTGCAATATCTGCTTCTGTGAGAAGCTGGGCAGTGAATGTATGTACTTCACCGAGTGCAGCCATGTATACTGCAAAGCATGCCTGAAGGACTACTTTGAAATACAGATCAGGGATGGTCAGGTCCACTGTCTCAACTGTCCAGAACCGAAGTGTTCTTCTGTTGCTACTCCTGGCCAGGTAATAGAAGTGTGGGAGCAGTGATGGTAGAGTTCTGCTAACTTACCAATAATTACAGAAGACAAGGTGTGGCTTTTCATGGTGAGCATTGTAAATATACCCGGG